AAGAAATGGCAAAGGACTTAAACAAACATTTTTCCAAAGAGAAAATCCAAATGGCCAACAGACACATGAAAAAATGCTCAGGATCACTAGCCGTCAGGGAAATGCAAATCAAAACCACAATAAGGCTTTACCTCACCCAGTTAGAGTGGCTTTCATACAGAAGTAAACAAACAACAAATGCTGGTGAGAATGTTGGGGGAAAGGTGCCCTAATCCACTGTTGGTAGGAATGTATGCTGGTAAAACCACTATGGAAGACAGTTTGGAGATAACTCAAATATCTGAATATAGTCCTACTTTATGACCAAGCCATCCCACTACTGGGAATTTACCCAAGGGAAATGAAATCAGCAAATAAAAGAGTTATCTGAACCCCTGTGTTTACTGCAGCTCAATTAACAATAGCTAAGACATGGAATCAAATTAAATGCCCATCAGCTGAAGACTAGATAAAGAAATTATGGGATAGGTACACCATGGAATACAACACAGTGGAAAAAAAATGAAATCCTGTCATTCGCAATAAAATGTTTGAATCTGCAAAACATCAAACTTAGTGAAATAAGCCAATCCCAAAGGGAAAAATACCATATGTTCTCCTGCCCTGTTTTGCCTGTTGATGAACAGTTGGTTTTGTTTTGTTTTCTTCTTCTTCTTCTTCTTCTTTTTTTTTTTTTTTTTGACAGGCAGAGTGGACAGTGAGAGAGAGAGAGAGAGAGAGAGAGAAAGGTCCTCCTTTACCGTTGGTTCACCCTCCAATGGCCGCTACAGCCGGCACACCGCACTGATCCGAAGCTGGGAACCAGGCGCCTCTCCCGGTCTCCCATGTGGGTGCAGGGCCCAAGCACCTGGGCCATCCTCCACTGCACTCCTGGGCCACAGCAGAGAGCTGGCCTGGAAGAGGGGCAACCGGGACAGAATTCGGTGCCCCGACCGGGACTAGAACCCGGTGTTTCGGCACCACAAGGCGGAGGATTAGCCTAGTGAGCTGTGGCATCGGCCTTGTTTTCTTCTTAATACCATTGGTTGAACTCTTTACTTAACCTAGAATTAATCATATGTGTGTAAAGTCAATTGAAAATAGATCACAGTAAGAAATAAGAATGACAATAAGAGAGGAAAGAGGAAGTTTGTAACTGTAAAGATGTAGAGTTCTGCATATATTCCTATGGACTTCTTTTTCTTTTCTTTTTTTTTTTTTCTTTTTTTTTTTTTTTTACAGGCAGAGTGGACAGTGAGAGAGAGAGAGAGAGAGAGAGAGAGAAAGGTCGTCCTTTTTCCGTTGGTTCACCCCTCAATGACTGCTGCGGCTGGCGCACTTCGCTGATCCAAAGCCAGGAGCCAGGTGCTTCCTCCTGGTCTCCCACGCGGGTGCAGGGCCCAAGGACTTGGGCCATCCTCCACTGCCTTCCCAGGCCACAGCAGAGAGCTGGACTGGAAGAGGAGCAACTGGGACAGAATCCAGCACCCCAACCAGGACCAGAACCTGGGGTGCTGGTGCCGCAAGGTGGAGAATTAGCCTAGTGAGCCGCGGCGCCAGCCATCCTATGGACTTACTTCTAAGGGTATACCTAAAAACTTGCCATGGGACTCCAAATCTCATTAAGCTGGGTGGTAATAATGCCATCTTAAGTGTTAAAGTGGTCATATTAAGTGTTTAATTGATCATATAGATAGGATTAAGTTTTAAAGGGATCATATAAATAAGATCAAGTGTCTGGTAACAACAATGGATAGAATTAAAAAGGAGAGAATGTTCCAACATGAGAAGCAGTCCACACACCATACTCAGAATGACAATTGCTCTAAATAGCACTCTAACCTCAGAATCTGCCCTTAAGGCATTATGGTAGGCCGGTGCCACAGCTCACTAGGCTAATCCTCCGCCTGCGGCGCTGGCACTCTGGGTTCTAGTGCCAGTCGGGGCACCAGATTCTGTCCCGGTTGCTCCTCTTCCAGTCTAGCTCTCTGCTGTGGCCCGGGAAGGCAGTGGAGGATGGCCCAAGTCCTTGGGCCCTGTACCTACATGGGAGACCAGGAGGAAGCACCTGGCTCCTGGCTTTGGATCGGCACAATGCGCTGGCCTTAGCAGCCATTTGGGGGATGAACCAACAGAAGGAAGACCTTTATCTCTCCCTCCCTCTCTCTCTCTGTCTAACTCTGCCTGTCAAAAAAAAAAAAAATGCATTATGGTCTGGCTGAAAAGCCCATGAGTGCACTTCAGGCATGGAAAAATGTCCTACATGAAGATTCTCTGTGGAGACCCAGGGAAAGACAGTGCCATCAAAGAAGGAGGTACTTTTATCTGAATGGAGGAAAGAACTTCCACTTTGCTTAAGGCCTTATCTAAATACTGATGGAGATTGTGTACTCAAAAGGCTTCCACAGGCTGACGCCGTGGCTCAATAGGCTAATCCTCTGCCTGTGGTGCTGGCACCCTGGGTTCTAGTCCCGGTTGGGGCACCAGATTCTGTCCCGGTTGCTCCTCTTCCAGTCCAGCTCTCTGCTGTGGCCCAGGAGTGCAGTGGAGGATGGCCCAGATGCTTGGGCCCTGTACCCGCATGGGAGACCAGGATAAGTAACTGGCTCCTGGCTTCAGATCAGTGTGGTGCGCCGGCCGCAGCGGCCATTGAGGGGTGAACCAATGGAAAAGGAAGACCTTTCTCTCTCTCTCTCTCTCACTGTCCACTCTGCCTGTCAAAAAAAAAAAAAAAAAAAAAAGGCCTCCATAGCCTTGGCAGCTCAAGTCAAAAGCCTCAGGTAATCACTGATGTCATACATAAGAGTGTTAACTGTTAAATTAACAACAGGAGTCACTGCACTTACTCCCTATGCAGGACCTCTGTCCTCAATGATTTGTACTATGAGAATTAACTGTAAAAGTTGTTCTCAAATAGTTTTTTTTATAAATTTGTGTATGTTTTTGTGTTTGTGCAAATTCTTGAAATTTTTATTTAGTATAGAGTTGGTCTTCTATGTATAAAGTTAATTGAAAATGATTCTTACTGGAGAATGGGACCGGAATGGAAAGGAGAGGAAGTGGGAGGGGGGAGAGAGAGAAGAGGGAAAAGAAAAGAAAACAAGGGCAGCAATTATAAAATAAAGATGGAATAATTAAAAAATTTAATTTGGTCATGAAAATTTTAGCTTTCAGCTTTCTAAAGTACACTACTCAATAGTGTACTTTATTATTATTATCAAGTAGTGTACCAATTATTCTATTTAAGAAGTGTACTTTATTATCAATTATTTATATTATTAATATTTATCAATTAATAAGTATTAATTACTATTTAATCAATTACTAATAATTAATTGTTGGTATTATTATTACTCAAGTAGTGTGCTTTATTATTATTATTATCAAGTAGTGTACCAATTACTCTATTTAATACCCATAAGATACAAAAGGCCAACTACTTTTAAGTATTATTGTGTATTAAGGCAAGAATTTTTCAGGGTTAAAGACCTTATTAGGGACCGGTGCTATGGCGTAGCAGGTAAGGCCACCACCTCCAGTCCTGGCATCCCATATGGACACCGGTTCGATTCCTGGCTACTCCACTTCCGATCCAGTTCTCTTCTGTGGCCTGTAAAAGCAGTAGAAGATGGTCCAATTCTTTGGGCCCCTGTACCTACATGGGAGACCCGGAAGAACCTCCTGGCTCCTAGCTTTGGATTGGCACAACTCTGGCTATTGTGGCCAATTGGGGGGTGAGCCAGCAGATGGAAGACCTCTCTCTCTCTCTCTCTTTCTCTCTCTCTCTCTCTCTCTCTGTCTATCCTTCTCTTTGTTTAACTCTAACTTTCAAATAAATAAATAAATCTTTAAAAAAAAAAGACCTTATGGCCGGCACCGCGGCTCACTAGGATAATCCTCCACCTTGCGGCGCCGGCACACCAGGTTCTAGTCCCGGTCGGGGCGCCGGATTCTGTCCCGGTTGCCCCTCTTCCAGGCCAGCTCTCTGCTGTGGCCAGGGAGTGCAGTGGAGGATGGCCCAAGTACTTGGGCCCTGCACCCGCATGAGAGACCAGGATAAGTACCTGGCTCCTGCCATCGGATCAGTGCGGTGCGCCAGCCGCAGCGTGCCGGCTGTGGCGGTCATTGGAGGGTGAACCAATGGCAAAGAAGATCTTTCTCTCTGTTTCTCTCTCTCACTGTCCACTCTGCCTGTCAAAAAAATAAATAAATAAATAAAAATAATAAAATAAAAAAAGACCTTACTATAGTGTAGTTGACAATTGTTGATGACATCTTCAGAAAAGTTATAATGACAAGTTTTACAAGGCTGTTTTGTGGAATATTACTTCACAGAACTGATGGCATGACCCTCACTGCAAATTTTTTTTTAAATGCTGTCAGTTAAATTCAGACAACTGAGCTGGGCGATTAATCTAATATTCCCTAAGAATACCAGAATGTTTAAAAGAAAAAGCATGCCTTAGCAGCTCCACACAGGGAGGAGTAAAAAGTACTCTTCAGACATAGACAACTTTCTCTTTAGGAAAGATTTAAAAAAATTTCAATACATAAACAAATAGGTATTTGAAGGCCTGAAGCTCTGCTCCCTATAAGTACAGCCTTGAAAATTTTATCCTGCAAAACTTCTAGGGTATATATCTTCTGCCACATTCAGAGTCCATGGGTTCAGCATATTTGGATAGCAGGTAATCCCCAGAGACCTATAGATAATCTGCAATATCTATACAAGGAGGTGAGCTTTAATTAACTACATTACTATGATCAAGAACAACACTTAAAATAATACATTACTTGGGCTGGTGCTGTGGCATAGGTTCAGCTTCTGCCTGAAGAGTGCTTGGACTCCTGTACCCACGTGGGAGACCCCAAAGAAGCTCCTGGCTTCGGATGGGCCCAGCTCTGGCTGTTGCAGCCATTGGGGGAGTGAACCATCAGATGAAAAGACCTCTTCTCTGTCTCTCCCTCTCTGTCTGTAACTCTGCCTCTCAAATAAATATTTTTAAAACATAATACATTACCACCAATAGTCATGGATCTGGTTAAAGAAGGCTGTAATAAAGTTTCTTCATCACTAAATTGTTTCTTAAGCTCTTCCACAGATTCCAAATGGAGTTGCAGAAATTCTGCTGTTGCTGCTGCTGCTTCCTCTTTAACTGGATCTATCATTCTCTTCAAAAGTATTAGGTCATCCTTTCGGACTTTCAAACAAAGTTTCTCCATTTCCCTAATATTGGAGCGGAGTTGCTAGAAAAGAAAAAGACTCATTAATGCCACTCTTTTATAAAGTATCTTTCTTCTCAAAAGCAGTTTGTTATGATGGCTGTAAATGGAAATGATCACATACTCTCTATCATGAAAAGTGTGGCAAAACATTTTACTATTGTCTATGTTTATGGCTAGCTAAATCCATCATCTTTAAAAAATTATTATCTTTTTAAAAATTATCTATTTATTTTTGAGGGAAGGAGGTGGAGCAAAAGAAGAAGGGAGAGGGGAGAAAGAGAGAGAGACAGAGAGAAAGAAGAAGAAAGAGAGAGAAAAAAAGAAAGATGGGAGAGGGAAAAGAACACTCCCAAATGTTTGTTTACTCCCCCAAAATTTGCAACAACCCATGCTGGATTGGGACTGAAGCTGCATTCGACTCACTGAACTGAACTCAATTCAGGTCTCCCACATGGCTGGCAGAAACTCATCTAGTTGTGCTGGTTGGCATCATGAGCCAGAACTGGGAATCAAATTCAGGTACTCCGATATGGGATGCAGCATCTTAACCACTAGGCCAAATGCCTGCCTCCAAGATCACCATCTTCAGAACTCACATTCTGATACTTACAATGTATTTATTTAAGTAACAAATGCTCTTCATACTAAATCAAACAATACAGAAACATATCAAGAAATAATTATTTTCTCATCAATCCCATCAATTCTCTTAACCCAATCCTCCCATGTTTCTCACACCTCATACACACATTTAACATATACAGGCTTTCTCTTTTACAAAAAAATGGATTACATTTTGCATAACAATCTAATTTTTCATTTCACACTCCAGCTTAACAATCTCATCATAGAGATCCCTCCTGGTCAATGGTCACACCTGTCGCTCCCCCTCTTCATGGAGGAACGACACTAAGTCCTGCCTAGGCTTCATATCTGAGTCACGGCACCATTATGTCGCTCCCCCTCTTCGTGGAGGAACGACACAGGACCCTGCGCTGTTCTTTTGTCTGCTCGGCCCTCCCCGGGTTTGCTGCTGGTTCTTCCCGGGTTGGCTACTGACCCTTCCACCTCCGTGGAAGGGTGGTTCCCCCTGGCCACTTTCCCCACTTCCGCAGGGGAGCGGCACACCGCCGGCCGGCTCTCTCGGGGGCTGCACAGGTGTTCCCCTTAGGTGTTCCCCTTAGATGTTCCCGGTGCATGCCGTCTCTCTCCTCCTTTATAGTCCTCCTCTGCCAATCCCAACTCTGCTACCCACACGTCGAGCACGCTGCTCTCCTCCAATCAGGAGCAAGTCCTACAGTTTATTGGCTGAACTGGAGGCAGCTGTGTAGAAGCTGTTTTCTCCTCTCCCAGCGCCATATTGTGGGAGAGCAGATGCATAGAATAAGTCTTAATTCCAGTAACTTAGTCTAGTCCGAGTTGCTCCCCACAACACCATATTCCATAGTATAGTTGTGGTACAATTTAATCAGTCACCCCTCCAATGAACAACAGTTCTATATGTTGTTTCTAGCTTTTGGTAATTACAAATAACAAACAAATATCTTTGTGTAAAAATCCCATTACATATTAGCATTATAATATATACTAATTTTTAAAAAATATTTTTATAGAAAGCTTTTATTTAATAAAGATAAATTTCATAGGTACAACTTTTGGATTATAGCAGTTCTTCCCCTCATACCTGCCCTCCCACCCCCGAACCATCCCACCTCCTACTCCCACTTCCATCACATTCTTCATCAAGATTCTTCATTTTTAATTATCTTTATATACAGAAGATCAACTCTATACTAAGTAAAGATTCCAACAGTTTACATCCACACAGACACACAAAGTATAAAGTACTGTTTGAAGACAAGTTTCATTGTTAATTCTCTTTTTTTGTAAACTTTTATTTAATAAATATAAATTTCCAAAGTACAGTTTATGGATTACAATGGCTGCCCCCCCATAACTTCCCTCCCACCCGCAACCCTCCCATTTTCCGCTCCCTCTCCCCTTCCATTCACATCAAGATTCATTTTCAATTATCTTTATATACAGAAGATCAATTTAGTATATATTAAGTAAAGATTTCATCAATTTACACCCACACAGAACATAAAGTGTAAAGTACTGTTTCAGTACTAGTTATACCACTAATTCACATTGAACAATACATTACGGACAGAGATCCTACATGAGAAGTAAGTATACAGTGACTCCTGTTGTTGACTTAACAAATTGACACTCTTGTTTACAGCGTCAGTAATCTCCCTAGGCTCTTGTCATGAGTTGCCAAGGCTATGGAAGCCTTTTGAGTTCACCGACTTCAATCTTATTTAGACAAAGTCATAGTCAAAGTGGAAGTTCCCTCCTCCCTTCAGAGAAAGGTACCTCCTTCTTTGAAGACCTGTTCTTTCCACTGGGATCTCAATCTCACTCATAGAGATCTTTCATTTAGGTTTTTTTTTTTTTTTTTTTTTTTTTTTTTTTTTTTTTTTGCCAGAGTGTCTTGACTTTCCATGCCTAAAATACTCTCATAGGCTCTTCAGCCAGATCCAAATGCCTTAAGGGCGGATTCTGAGGCCAGAGTGCTGTTTAGGACATCTGCCATTCTATGAGTCTGCTGTGTATCCCGCTTCCCATGTTGGATCATTCTCTCCCTTTTTGATTCTATCAGTTAGTATTAGCAGACACTATTCTTGTTTATGTGATCCCTTTGACTCTTAGTCCTATCAGTATGATCAATTGTGAACTGAAATTGATCACTTGGACTAGTGAGATGGCATTGGTACATACAACCTTGATGGGATTGTATTGGAATCCCCTGGTATGTTTCTAACTCCACCATTTGGGGCAAGTCTGATTGAGCATGTCCCAAATTGCACATCTCCTCCCTCTCTTATTCCCACTCTTATATTTAACAGGGATCACTTTAAACACCTAAGAATAATTGTGTGTTAATTACAGAGTTCAACCAATAGTATTAAGTAGAACAAAAAAATACTAAAAGGGATAAAGTATTAAATTGTACATCAACAGTTAGGACAAGGGCTGATCAAGTCACTGTTTCTCATAGTGTCCATTTCACTTCAACAGGTTCCTTTTTGGTGCTTGGTTAGTTGTTACCGATCAGGGAGAACATATGATATTTGTCCCTTTGGGACTGGCTCAATTCACTCAGCATGATGTTTTCCAGATTCCCCCATTTTGTTGCAAATGACCGGATTTCACTTTTTTTTTTTTTTTTTTTTTTTTTTTTTTTTTTTTTTTTTTTTTTTTTTTTTTACCGCTGTATAGTATTCTATAGAGTACATATCCCATAATTTCTTTCTACTGTTGATGGGTATTTAGGTTGATTCCAGGTCTTAGCTATCGTGATTATTTATTATTTGAAAGGCTCAGTAACAGAGAGAAGGCAAGAGAGAGATACTTCTATCTACTTGTTCACTTCCCAAATGCCTGCAAAAACCAAGGCTGGGTGAGGCTGAACCCAGAAGCCAGGAACTCCATCCAGATCTCCCACATCTTCCACTACCTTCCCAGGTGCAATGGCAGGAAACTAGATCAGAAATGGAGTTAGCTGGGACTTGAACCTGCACTCTGATATAGGATACTGGCATTGTGAGTGGCAGCTTAACTCACTGTGCCATGAAGCTGACCTCCAATATAATATTTTTTGTAGGGTTGATTCCCAGAAGTGGGAATATTTCAAAGATAATATGCACTTTTACTTCGATCACCACCAAAAGGCTATAACAATACACATGACAACCAAAGTATGAGTGCCCACTTCCCTACATACTTCTAGGATTGCATGTTATCTCACTGTTGCTTCCCATTCAGGTAATAAGCAGACCTGATCTTGCTTAGCTTCTGAGATCAGACCAGATTGGGCATTCAGGATCAGATGGCCACACATTCTTTGCTGTTTTATTCTGCAATCCCCTATGAATGAAATTGTTGAACTTTTATCAAGTGATTTTTCCCTCTTTTAAAAAGAAAATCTATTGGCTTGATCATAATGTTTTTGCTAATGCGTTGCTATAATTAATACTGTACAGATTTCAAAGTATACAGTCATCTTTATTTTTAAATGTAAATTTCTTCTTTAAAAATATTTAAGAGAGACAGAGAAAAACAACACTCCCATCCACTGATTCATTCTTCAAATGCTTGCAACTGTTAGATCAAGCCAATGTTAGCAGGTGGAAACTCAATCTAGGTCTCCACAAGAGGGTCAGGGATTCTGCTATTTTCCAGGCACATTAGTAGGGAGCTAGATCAGAAGCAGTGTAAGCTGGGACTCAAACTGTGCCACAATGTCCAACCTCAAATATTCCTTGAAGATTAAATAAAACTAATCTTCCTAAGATAATATTTTTAAAAGAATTATAGACCTCTATTCATATATTTTAAAAATTCTTTCCTCCTAATGTAATTTCATAAATATTAATGCAAATTCGTTAGATAAAACAAAGTGTTAATTTATTTAATTTCTCAATTGCCTCACTTTCTAAGTAATGGGTTATATTATTACATTCTACATAATTACATGTAGGTAAAGCAAAACAAAAACTTGTTCAGGAATTATGCAGTTATCTAACGGTAAAAGGGGTTAAAAATTAACTATTCCTATAAATCTAGCAATCTTTCCACTAAACTACAATCATAATGCCTATCTATATGGTATCTTAATATGATCTAAAGTATCCATTTTACTCTTGAAAAACTAAAATTAATTCTGAGAAAAACAGCTTAGTTACAACCTAAAGCATCTTGTAAGATGTTCTGGGTAAACAAAAAAATTGTACTAACATGACTTTATACATTCCTTATGTCCACTTTCCTAACATTTTAATATGAGCTGGAAAATCTAAAGATAATTGGACTACATCTTTGAAATAAGCAACATGCATGCATTAACATGTACAAATTATATTATCTTTAGGGGGCCTTTGTGATCATCTAATCCATTTCAGCACACCACCATTTCCTGGCTATGTGACTCCTTTCTGGACCAGAATTGTAAAGCT